TCTTTTCTTTGTCGAAAAAGGATCTGAAAACACTGCAAGGGGAGGGTGTTTTTCAGAGAGGAATAAAGATGCAGGGGAAGAGAAAGTGCCAACGGCTCCCAACAGTGTCTCAGTCCTCTCAGAAAGTTAATTGATCAGTAAAAAATGAAATTAAAAAGCACACCCAGGGGTGCATGGCTATGATTCTGTTTTCCAGGTATTGTGCCTTTATATGCAAGTCCATCCGTCTGTCCACTGGGGGAGACAGGACTTTGAGAGAGTCAAAGATGGAAAACCCTCACAGCGTGAGACCCAAACTTTGCTCTCTCTCATAGAGATTTTATTGTTCTGCTTTCCTTCTCTGCTGTGTTCTTTAATTGCAAATAGAAGCAATCCAGCCTGAAAGTGTTCTTTGTACATAAACGCTCCCATGGGAGCTAGTAGGTGCATGGGCATACTTGGATACTGCCATGCTTCAGGGTGCTTAGGACCAGGGATCAGATCAGCCAGGGATAGTGGTGGCAGAGGAGGGTTTTGACAACACCACCACATCTCCCTTGGATCCACCTCTGGAATTGAAGTCAGCATTACAAGACCCTCAGAGGTGTTCAGATCGAAGGTGCTGGTTTGGCCCCAGCTTGCTCTGGAGAGCCCCCCACCAATCTGCTGATGCCACACCTCTCCTCCCTAACCCTCATTTGCATCACTCATCTACCCCCTGATTCTCTTTACCCACAGCCCCATCTTTTCAGCCTTTCCTCTGGCCCAGGAGGGATATTGTTCCTTTAACCGGCCTAGCTCAATCTAGGCATCACAGTAATTTCTGAGCCTTGTATTGTTCTGCTTTCAGACGGTCACATCCAATTTCTCCTTGAACAAACTCAGGGCCCTGAGGGCGGAATGCAAGACAGATTGGCATCGGGGGAGGCACTGCCATATGGATGAGTACTGAAGCCCCCCAAAACAAAGGTCTCCTTGTACTCCCGTCTGCTAAGCAGTTTGTATGTTCTGTTCACTGGTGAACAATTTTGTCTGCAGTAAAATGCTCTTCCTGCGGACTCTAAATCTTATTCTTGCTGTCTCTCTCTTTCCCCTCTTTCCCAACCCCACCCCACTGCAGTGGGGCATGGACGGTTATTCCAGAGTGCTCTACTTTAACATATTATTCCTCCTTACATACACACGCACATGCCCATACACATACACACACTGCAGATAGGATTCTGGTCCCTCGTGTGTAGAGGCTCACTATGTCTGACAGATTTCTCTCTCGAAGGAAAGGCAAGGTCAGGGCAGAAGCTTGTGTGAAAAGTTTGTGTTGAAAATTCACATGAATCAGCGGGTCAGATGAGATACCCAACCCTTCTCCCCCCACATCCCCTACTACCCCTATCAACTGTACAAAAATACCTTTGAGTGCTGGCGGTGATCCTAACCAGGTGGATGGCAAAGCTCTGGGAAGTGATCTGGACTTGTGATCTTCCTGCTGTGACTGATCCCCAGACCAGGTGCCTTTGTCATGAGATTTCCAGCTCAAGGAGCTCTACTGGACTCTGGAAGCTTGTATTTGAAGCCAGGCTGTAGCTGGCTGAGAGGCAGTGTGTATGGGGTAGGGTGAGGACAAGAGTGCACAATGGGAAGAAGCACACTGTGAATGGAATCACGGTGCAACACTCCCCCTGCAGCACGCTTGATGGCAGAAGCCCCAGGAGGGATGCTGAGTAAAACAGCCAGAGTTCCCCCTCCTGTCCCACAGCACCCACCAGGCACCATCCAGCTCCTTGCATGTTGTTGTCATCACGTTGAATAGGTCCAAGATGGTCATTTCCTTGGAGATGAATTTGGCTTTTTGAAGTCATGTGGAACCCATAGGTCAAATCTGACAGTGTGGCTTATGCCTATAGTTGGGGGGGGGCCTCTGGACATGAGTGTATTTGTGCAAAGAGAGGGTAATGGGGAATGCAGATACACAGGTGCAACGTGTGTAGAGGATGTAGGATACTGCTGGCATAGGGATGCTGTAAAGGAAGCGATATGGCAGGGCTTACATCAGGGACTGTAAATGTCAGAGGGCAGAGCAGCACACTAAGGTGCAATCATGGGACAATGGATCTGTGCTTGAGACAGCAAGATTATGAGGAGGACTGGATACTCCCACCAAGACTCACTGCCAGCTCCAGCTGTGTGGGGGCCAGCCATTCACTCTACTTTCACCCTCCCTCTTCTCTCCTCCCAGACATAGGAGCCAGAAGGGTTCAGCCTTTCCTAACTGGAGCCTACTAAAATGCCCTTTAACGTTTCATAGTACCCTGGAATCGATCTGCTAACTTTCATGATTTTACTGCAAGTCTCATGAGATTTGTTGTGGTTCCTTCTTTCCCCGTTCCCCCTTCACGCTCCAGTTCATAGAATTATGTTATTATGTGAAAATGAGCCACTGCTTAAATGGAAGCAGGATTCTCCCTCAATAACAGGACTCCAGGAGCTGGGACTTCAGAGGAAATGCCCAATGCTGCAAGAGCTGGCAACACTGAAAATACTATGGGGGCTAATGAAGTGTCTGCTGAGCCCTGCAGGCTCCTTTCTTCTGCAATGGGGAGGAGGGTGTCTGTCTTTAATGAAGGGCAGGTGATGGGCTGCCATAATGCCAATGGAAAAGAGAGTCACTGGCATGGGAAAGGGAGCCCCTGGTGGCAAGCATATGGTGGTAGTGATGGCTGGTGGGAGGAGGAAGGGAGCAGAGCTGTCATGCTGAAGTCTCCCTGTCACTAGGTGCAATCAGCCTTGCTACACACCTCCCCACCCCCGATTCGATGCTTCACTAGATGATGCGTCTCACTGGTATCAGTGCTGAATACCCTGTCTCCCCTGTGATGAAAGCTTACAGAGGTGTAGGCCACAGTTAGCAAATGGGAGGCACTCACTGTTAATGCAGTTTTTGGAGTCGTCAGTATCCCTCCTCTTCCCACCAGGATGGGCTGCAGGTCCTAGCGCAGACTGAGCTCATGTTTTATTTTGGCAGATGCTTCCCTTGGGCTGTACAGAAGGGGCTCAAGGGTAATCAGGATTTAGTTTATATTTGCTTAAGTCTTTGGTTTGGGTCATTTGAGTCCTAGCCATGAGACCTGGGTGTTTCTAAGGATTTCGTATGGACTTAATTAAAAGCCAAAACAAAGCATGGCATTTTAACATTTAGCAGAGATGATACAGTATCTGGCCCTAGTCAAAAGCAGCTTAGAAATAAGACCTTTCTAGGACATGCCTCAGAGAGTCAAGAAAAATACCCTTGTCCCCAAATCCTCCAGCATGGAGTCTATCCCCTTAATCTGAAAGCAAAGACAGGCCACTTTTGTGTATGTCTTCCTTCCTGGGGCCAGGGGATGCAGTACCAGGCTGGGAGTCAGGATTTCTAGATTCTGTCAGCAGCTCTGACTTCTGTGGTTTTGGGCAAGCTGCTTCACCACTCTGTGCCTCAGTTTCCCCATCTGTAAATGGGGGTGCTGAAGCTCATGCACCTTAGGATGTTGACAGATGTGCAACTCCCCGCTCTAACTCATGGTGCTTCACAGAAAGTGCCATGAGTTAGTGACCCCTGCCCCCTCCCCCCAGACATTTGCTGTTGGGTTGAGGTGAAGGGGAAAAAAAATCAAGCCCCACTTTGAGCCAATCCATTGGATCCTCTCTCCCCTAGCCACACCCCGCTGGAGTGGGGGGCATAAAGCAGGTGGGGGGGGAGGGGGGGGCTCCAATCCACCCACCCCCTCTCCAGCTCAGGCTGGTCAAACCCCAGCCCACAGCTCCCTCTCTATCCCTTCCTGAAGACAGCACATGGGGCAGAGATTGCCAGAAATTCCCTACCACACACAGGGATTGCCAGAAATTCCCTAAGGTGCTCCACTTCGGAGCACCGTCATCTGATCGCTCACTAGGTGAGGGTTAATTTATCATGCGATTGGACACTTCTAAAGTGCTCTGCAGGCATGCACGTGTGTCATGGCACAGCTGTAGAGCACTTTCAGGGGGCCAATCACATGACAAATGTCACTTCTGTCAGCACCCTTACTGAAATGATCCATGAGAGTTGAAGCTGGAAACCCCAATATAATTGCACATCTTCTTATCATCAAAAGACTCCTTATAAGTAATGGGCATCATCTGAATGGTCTTGGCATTAGAGCTTCACCCATGACAATCAATGACCAGTCAGACTGGGGGAGATTAGGGTCCACTCTGACCTATTCACCTCATAATAGCAACTACAGTGAGAAGCTAAGGACTCTTTAGGTTGATCAGAATTGTTCACTTTAATTTTGAGGGAAGTCTGTCAAGGGTTCATTGTTATTGTTGTTATTATTATTATTATGATTATTACACTTCCAGCAGGAGAAGGCCTTGCCAGTGCTGGGACTGTAGGCGGCAGGCTCTTTTTCCGCTTACAAGAACACAGATAAATGCCATGTCTGTGAAATGAGAACAATCATCATACTCAGTGCTTTTCATTTTCAAAGAGGCAGTTGTTAACCCTTGCAAGCTCTTCCTTTCCCATTCTCCATAAGGAGAATGGTGCCTCAATCAGCATTTCAGGGAGGAGGAAACTAAGCCTTAAAAAGCAGAGTGAGAAACCAGCACTATCAGAACCAAGACTAGAGCTCAGGTCTTCCTGGCTCCCTGCTCTCCGGGGCTGCTGGACAGCACCAATCTGCTTGGAGCTTGTGTGCGTCCCTGCAGTGCTGGGTGAAGGAGGCATGAGATAGATCAGGGAGATACAGAGGGATGGGATGTCTGAGGGGACAGTGGGCAAGAGAGACAAGTAAAAGAGAAGGAAGTCTGAGTGGGAGTGTGATGGAAGGAGAGAGAGACAGAGCTTAGGTGAGTGGGGGTGAGAGAAAAAAAAAAGGAAGGATGAATGGAGGGAGAAGGAGCAAGAGATCATATGGGAATGCAAGCAGAGGAATGAGAGAGGAGGTGAATGAGAGAGATGCAGGTGAGGGCATCTGTGCTCCCTCTAAAAAGGAACTCACCCATCTGTCTCATGCGCAGTCATGCCTCCACGCTGCAGGAA